GTAATAACTTATTAACTAATACAAATAACTTGCACAAATGTAATAAATTAATAACTAAAATAACTTACACAGATGTAATAACTTATTAACTAAAATAACTTACACAAATTTATTAACATATTAACTAAAATAACTTACACAAATGTAATAACTTATTAACTAAAATAACTTACACAAATGTAATAACTTAATAACTAAAATAACTTACACAGATGTAATAACTCATTAACTAAAATAACTTACACAAATGTAATAACGTTTTAACTATCGAATATAAATTTAATTAGTGCTTAACCAAAATGTAACCAACCACAAACGTCCAGCAATGTATTGGCAACTGACCTAAAGTTTATTCAAATTTTAAATGCAAAATGAAACATAAATGTTATATCTTCTTCAAACACTGTTCCGGCTGTATAAAAAACACAGTTTTGAGTGATGCAAATTGCACGGCATTGTGATTATTTATCTCGAAATGAAATCAATAGTTCCGACAATACTGTTGTTAAGTGTTGACCTGCTTTATTTACATAAATATAATACTAGCCGGGTAGGATTTAAGCGTAAATATCGTCTAAAATTGACGAGAATAAATGTTGTTTACTCAAATTATAATGTTGTTGGTTGGTACAAACTGTTTGTGACAATACTGATAATCATAGGTTTATGCAAATTAAAATGTTCATCTAAACTGTTTAAGACAAAACCTCATTTCATGATATTAAATGATGTACGCATAATACTTTCGATAACGATTGTATGTATAGTAAACGATGAGTAGGTTATTATATTACCCATAACCAACTTGTGAGTCACGGTTTAATCTAAAATTCAGTAACCACTATCAATATAATAATTTCTCAACTACATTGTAACACTAACTGCAAGTGTAATATCCTTTAAAAATAACCATAATTAACAATAGATAAAACAACCTTACACTTATTTATATACCATAACATGTAGTAACAATCGCAAATGCAATAAGCTCTATCAAGATCTTGTAAACTATTGACCGAAAAGGTAAACATGTTAAACACATATTGGTTGTGGGGATGTGGTACCAACTAATATTAAATCATTACAATTCCAAAACACAAACTGCTGATGACAATACTGGTAATAATAGCTTTCTCAAACTAAAATGTTGGAAACTTTTTGTGACAGTTATTTTAAGACATGTAAATTTACAAACACGTAAGCACACATGGTATTTTCTATAACGGTAGGATACATAGTTAACGATGGGTAGATAATTAAAAATTTCACTACCCGTAACGAACGAGTGCAATCCATGGGAGTCACGGTTTAACTTTATATGCAGTAATAACAGTAAATATAATAAAAAAAATCCACACTACAATGTAATACCAACCACAAATGTAAAGTCTTTCATTAAACAAATGTTACCATAATCAACCAGAGATGTAATAACCTAGAAAGATGGAAGATGAGGTACCAACTAATATTAAATGACAATTTCATAACATATGTTCTTGAATACCGATATAATATATCCAGACTGAACAACTTATCGCAACAATATATTGCATGCAATGTGGATGACCATCAAACAGAATTGCGTACAATAATTATGTGGCTATCATTACGTTTTCTTTGCTAATACCACTATTGTGAAATCGTAGTTCATATAACTACGCACATCTGTGTATTTCTTGAGAAAACTTTTCACTACCAAAAACCCAGCTTCTCGTATCGCTTGCGTCACGAATTCATCATCGACGTTGAAGCATGTATACCGCTCGTCTCCAATTACGTAGAAATCAGCTGGCTGGCAAAGTTGTATGAACCATCCACCACTCTTCAGAAGGTTGGACGCATTCTTCAAGTATTGCACCCATTGCTGTTTGCTTTTAGCAATGCATTCAATGCAAAAACCTGAAATCACGAAATCGTATAGTGGGGAAACACTCGAACCGACTGGGTACTCTTTAGAAATGTCACAATGGATGACATCTTTCACTGATCTACGAATTATCTTCTCTCGTTCTGAAACATTTCTGTTGTATGGAGAGAAAAAGAAACCAAAAAATAAACACACACATATATGAAGCATGCATTCAACTAGAGAAAACAATTGTAGCGATGGTTTGAGAGGGCAATACATTTTGAGTTAATCTGAAATACAGTGTTTTTTTGTGATTTTTCACGCGTAAGGAAACATCGGTATTTGGGGTTAGTCTAGAGAGTTCCCAGCTTCTCCACGACCATGATTTTTGGCATAGGTATTCTCTGATAGCTGTTAATGAAATCTGGCAACGATAGTTTGTCTACCACTTTTACTTTAGAAAATATTACACAACTCCCCCCTTTGCGGACTGTGACACGGGGTATCATGTTTCAAAACAACGTTGTCAAAATCTAGTAAATGCAACAGTAGACGAACTGGGAAATTGAATTCAAACCTTTTATAGTATCTCTCAGTACCACGAACATCATTTATGTTGTTTATTTCGGTTTCTATGAAAATAACAACTCTCTATTTTTTTTCAGATTGTATGAAAAATAAGCTTTCTGAAAATATATAACTTGGTGTGATTCAAAGAATATGTTACTTCAGAAATGTGCTATGCAATTGCAATAGCAACAACCTCTACTACATATTTAACGGCAATCAATCTGTAGTAAATCCTTCCAACCATGGAAAAACGAAAACTGAATGGGGATATTTTATGGGTCTCGTAAATGAAAACACATGCTCGATAAGTCAAAACATCGTTCTTTATCACAACCGGTAAGATTACAATTAGCAGGGCTAGTATAAATATAAATGTATATCACTTACTGATGTCCTTCTAGTTCACAGACATATTTAACGTAGGGTTTCCAATCAAAAACACCAGAATCTTCACTTATCCATCGTCTTATTGCCTCTTGGTTCCCACTGCTTATATCAGCGGCAATAATTTCATTGAACTTTGTACACGCAGAGATGAATTGATAAACGCACGGCCCAGAACCAATGTCAATCAGACGATTACCAGACACACCCTCTAATAAGAATGTGGAAAAGTTTTCTAGTTTAGCCATGTTGTTTAAATTCACCCTCCATGATTTCCTGGGTAATATCCCAAGCATATTTGAAATGATAATGAGTCTCCATCTGCCTTTACAACACACGTGGACGCAGAGATCGACGTTTTTTTTTTAATTATTCAATTATAAAAATTGTATTATTGCGCTCGCTTTGTAAAGATGTGACTTTTGCAATATTTTTTTATAAAAAAAAACCCTGAAAACTGGTTACTGTGCGCTAGGGAGTTGAGACAGTAGATATGATATCTTGTTTACTCACACAAACTTTTATTTTAACGTGAGTGGTATTTACTATAGACCTAAGTCGTGTTAAATAAAATACAATATGTAACAAAACCTATCATAAAGCAATCGATGTAAAGACAAATAAGCTAATACAAATTTAGATTCCATAACTTTTTATTACTGTGAGATGTTATACGAATAATGGCGTCTATCTATGTTTTACATGTAGTGGAGAGCATCCAGGAGTGTCATTTGGTAATGGGGAGTTGTCGTTACAGCTTACCGGTATGCCATTGTAAATATTCATAATTGCAATTTCGTTATTTTTGTTGTTATTGTCGTTTTTTGCCAGAGTTGTTATTTTTATTGTTTTGTTTTTTTATTGTTTTTATGGTGTTGTTCTTTTGATGTCGTTGTCACCGCCGCTGTTGTGCAATATGCTGGTAAGTCGTTATCGAAATACTTACTAATCCTATCCAGTGTGAATCACTAAGTAGCGTTCATCGAAAAATAGAACCAACCTCTTTAATTCTGTATGCTGTGTTGAGTTGTGTACAAACGTGTTGCTCTAAAATACATTATTACTATGGTCTAAAAATTTCCCCAAATACTGGGAAAAAAGTATTTTTAATACAATTATTTACCAGAGATGAATTAACCTGTTCAATAAATTAAATTATTTTTAATTATTTGGAAACAGTAATTGATTATTTTGTCTCAGTATGTACATTTATATTTTTACGAGATTATTTAGTTTTTTTTTTATGTAATACTGCTCATTTTCCGAATAACACAATAAACGATTACCACAGCAGCATTTTAAATTTACATTGCGTCTATTCATTTATGTTCTATTGAATATTGTTGTGTCAGGCGACAGTTCCAGATACTAAATGTCGCCGCCGTCGTCTTCTGTGTATTTTATTATGTGCGAATACTGACAGTAACTATATGGCATGTTTGTGGCAACGTGACATGCTCATCTACCTACAATAATGTCATTATGGCAATGTAATGTGATATCCCGGTGTTAACTGGAACACCAATATCTGTGAGTCTTGAACAAGGCTTCCACAAAGTCACCAAGTAGGATTTAAACTCGGGTCTGAGAAAACATCGACAAGCGATCGGTTTTATCATAATGTATTGTATACATTATTTTATACGCACCTGAAATGAAATAAAGATGGCTACACTTGGCATGTTTTGCCAGATGTTCATATTGTCGAGGCTGTTTGTTAACAATATCAATAAAAGTATTAGAGATATAAGTCACGTTATGTAAGTATTGAATAAAACGAGCCTTATATTACAATATGAAAATGATGTCACTTCTGTCTGTACGTGTATCCAAATATATAGCATGCATAAACCATTATCTAAATTATGTACTTACCGTTATTGAAAATATTATGCAGAGTATCCAGTAAAAAAATATTGGATGGTGACACACCAGTGGTATTTTCTATACGTGGATAATAGAGTTTGAGGTAACTGTCTGGACAAAACTCTTCTTTATATTCTAATGGTACAGATGCATCCATGTCTGAGGAATCTGTGTACTGGACTGTATATCTAGTATGGCTACAATGGAATGAGCTCTCAAACATGAACCAGCAAAACGTTGTACGAGTCAAAAATAAAAACGCCAAATTTTTGATCGCGAGGTAACTGAAAACTAGCCAATCAGGAGAGACCTATTCAACTACTAATCTGCAGCGTGTTAGATTAACCGCCTCGATGTGGTCAAATGATGTAACTCAGAGATTATCGTATTTGTCGTATTATTATAGGTGTTATTTAGAAAAAAATGGCTAATGGCAATTAGATGATGTATTTACTGCGAAAGACATTATAAGACAAATTCAGTTTTTTGATATTTTATTGATTGTGCGTAACATTAAGTATACACTAACCACATGCTGAGTTTGAGGTCACTACAATAAATACTGACGGTTCTCAATAGACGATTGAAAAAATATAATTTTGAATTTTCGATCATATCCGATAAAGCTATGTTTAAATAATTATGTTAGGGCACTTAACGACATAATGTTTCAAACATAAATGAAAATACAACAGTTTTGGTTTTGGTGGTGTTGTTGTTGTTCAATTTTTGTCCATGTATGTTGTTTATAAATATTTGGATTGACAATAGTATGTTCAAATCCAATAATGTCAGGGAAGGCACGAGCAGTTTGTCTTCAAAATATAATACATGTAACTATTTAATTTACAATCATTTATTTACTTAATTTTTTTATAATACAATAACCTCTGATGTAATGAACGCCAATCCCAGATGAAATAACTTAATAATTACAAGGACTTACACAGATGTATAAAAGAATCAGTTTTGGGTATGTAAATTCGCACGGTATTATAATATAATACTATCTGTAATTTACATGTAGTGGAGAGCGTCCATTAAAGTTATTTGGTAATGGGAAGTTGTCGTTATAGCTTACCGGTATGCCATTGTAAATGTTCATAATCACAATTTCGTTACTGTTGCTGTTATTGTCTTTTTGTTGCCCAAGTATTTTTTATTTTTGTTTTCATGGAGTTCTTTTGATGTTGTTGTCACCGCCGCTGTTTTACAATATACTGGTAAGTCGTTATCAAAATACTTACTAATCGTATCCATTGCGAATCAATAAGTAGCGTGCATCGAAAAATAGAACCAACCAATTTGATATCTGCCAAAATAATATTTTCTGTATGCTGTGTTGAGTTGTGTACAAACGCGTTCCTCTAAAATACATATTATACTGGTCTAAATATTTCTTCAATACTAGAAAAAAAGTATTTTTAGGAATTATTTATCTGTGATAAATCAACCTGTTCAATAAATTAAATTATTTTTAATTATTTGGACTCTGTGATTATCATAAATTACATGCAGATACTAAAGTACATGCACTGTAATTGATTATTTTGCATCAGTATGTACATTTACATTAATTTTGTACGAGGTTATTTTGTCTTTTTTCCTGTAACATCAGTAATACTGCTAATTTTCCAAGCAACACAATAAACGGGTACCATAGTAACATTTTAACTTACATTATTTCTATTCATTACTACCTTAATACAAAAATATGTTTGGATATTTAGAGTACTAACAAATTCCCACTTTTGGTCAGGTTAGACTTAAAATACACCACGAATATTCACTTTTGAGATATAGTTTTTGGTATGTGTTGGTTCCTGAATATTTAAGCTTCGTCGTCCTGTACTTCGTTTATTAATTCGAACTTCCAAGTTTGCGTAAAAAGGGAGAGTTTTGCGATTTCGACATCGAAAATGCCTTGGCTTAATTATTTGCTGAGGGACAGTCGCTTAGGTATGTGCTCTGTAACTTGCAGCACATGAAACCTAAAAACGTTAGGTAATCAAACAAAAATTACGTTGTACTAAAGTCCAAAAAGTAGGTTAAAGGTCTTCACTTTTTTGTAGCATAAAAACGATTTGCTACCTTGCTTATTGTGACACCCTCAAATCGACTGATTTCCGAGTCCATTCCCCTCAAAAGTCAACAATGGTATATTCCTACCACGACTCGAAACAGTCTTTTTTGGTTGACGTGTTAATTTGCTTTCAATTGCGTTTCAGTGGCTGTCATTGTACTATCCTGAGTCTTGCCGATAAGAATTTGGTTCAAATTCACGTAGCTATCTCCAAGAAAACAAGTTTTCAACTAAAGAAAATTTGCATAATAATGCTTTTGCCATTTGACGCCATATTAGATTTGGACACCACAAACAACTACAACATCTAAAGCTTAGTAGGGAAATTTACTCGCATTAAATTGCGTTCCCCTGCCAGGCAATGAAAACATGTATTTGCACTAAAGTACGTTCATTAAAAGATCTGCACTTTCTCATAACATAAACACGGTTTTTACCCTCGATTACTAAAAGCAACATATGATTTGGGTCGCAATCACCGTAGCTATCGCCACGGTAGGCAATGTCTCACCTTTTGGTTATTATTTTGTCCAAGTCATTCACGTCCCAAGTGTTGGTTCCCGGGCGCCCCTAATAAATAAGCTAAATTACCGCTGAGCTGAATCAATGATATATCACCCAAAAATGGATGATTAGGTGAAATTGGGATTTTTCTTTTCTTTTTTTTATCTCGATATTTTTTTGCTCGGAAAGGCTTTCACGCTAAATTTTGGATTTGGCAAATAGTCTCTCACCCATTGGTTATTCACAGGACCTGTGATTATTACAGTCAACAATGATTCACGTTCCAAATGTTGGTTCCCGATCGCCTCTAATAAATAACCTGTTCTATTTTTGACCTCGACCTTTTTTTCGCTCGAAAGGCAAAGGCGATAAGACTATATTTTCAAGGATCATGCAGGTCGTTTGGATCGGACAATTTCTTTTGTTTCCAATTCGTAGTATGCCTAGAAAAATAGCAACATTATTTTGGTGAATGTATGACATGTTCTGTTTCAATAATGGATGTTGATATGCATAACAATTCCTTACTGAAACATTTCATGTACTCTTTAAAATTTGGCAATGCAATTAGCCCAAGATGGACTTTACTGTACGTCCAAAAACACTCTCGAACTTGACAATATTCACGTTCAAATCATTAACCAAATAGATGGAAATACCACTTGCATAAATCATGAAGATTGGTTATTCGAATGCTGGCCGGGATAGCTGCATTTAGTGTTCATTTCTATGCAATGTAAAGTCATATCAATGCTTTGGGCGGCGAAGGGTAACAGATTGTTTTTGATTCTGCGG